AGTCTTACACTGCTAAATTAGGGACGGCTAGCGCAGATAGCCCTCGTGTAGCTTTGCGCGAAATTCAAAAACAAACGAACAAACAAACAAATATAACTAACTGCGACGCGCCAGGGGGAGTATCTATTAGTAGTTCGCTATAATCAGCATATTATAAACTTCGAAAGCTATAATTGTGATTTTTAGAGCGCTTATCAATCGGAAAACTGAAGATATTTGCCCAGGAATATTTATAAATTTCGAAAATTACAAATTATTTAACTTCAATGGATTCTCATCGGACATTAGTATTTCTACGAAGACATTATATAAATTCAACGGACCAAAAACTCAGCGTGCGTGGCAAAGGACAAAGCTAGCTAGCTTCTCGGCGAACCGTACTTATATCAACTCGTAATTAACTCGCTCGTAGTAAACTATCGATAAGATATCAAGGGAATTCCAAATTAGAAAGAAGATTTTATATTCTTTGTAAGTTTGTGAAGCTTTTGCTTATAAATTTTTGTTTGTAATAATTACTTGTAATAACTGTTACTATAAATTGTATTGTTGTGTGTATACTAAAACGTATTTGTGTCAAAAACGAAGACGATGTGTATCAATCTTGTTGGCAAATATCGTAAATTGACTAAAATATTGGCATATATTTAAATACTAAATCCAAAGCACAATTTAAATACCAAATTTAAATTATCAGTTAACTCGGCTTCGGACTATTTGAAATTTTAATACGTAACAGTTTGTATAAAGAAGGTTCGTGATATAGGGTAGTGCTAAGTCACAGAGTCAGTGTTCAGCTAATATACGATTTTTAACAGAAAGTCTGGACAGTTAAGTATAAAAGAGTTATAAGTAGCATACGCTTAACGTTTTATATAACCACACTTAATTAAAGTTTAGAAGATCCATTCACATAAGTATACAATAGGCAAGTAAACTACATTCGTTTTATCATGTTCGCATCATTTCAGGAATCGTAACTATACATTTTCAACAAATCGACAATGAAAAGGATTTTTTTTATCAAGCTGGCAAACGAAACCACTGTTTCATAAACGTTAATACAAAAACTTGAAATTTAAAGTTATATATTTTTATATAGTAGTATAGCTCATTTAAAAATGTGTTTCGGTGTATAACTTATTTATTGTAAAATTATTCTATAATAATTAACCTGTTTGTTTCTATGTGTTTTTACATATATCGGTTGTATTTTCAAACTAATATTTTGACAAGTATTCAGTATAAAATATATTGCGATTTCATACATCAAAGGTTTAGAAAAGTGTCAAGGAGAAACCCCTAGCTATATGGAACAAAGAGCCAAGAGGAGATGAAGCAATGTTATAGGATAATTGAAAGTTTGTGGAGAAACAATAATAAGGAGCATACGATTATACGTAAAAATTTCACCGGGTAAGAGTGAAATCGTGGCTAACCACAACATTTAGGAGAATCTGGAAGTGACTTGTGGAGTGAATCTTTTACCTTGTCACTCATAGTCCTCTAAGGCCGTATAACTGTGATTATTGTCAAAAGTTATAATGACTTTTCCTTCTCTACTATACGGCATATATTTAACAAAATGTTGTACTGAATAGTTCTTTTAAAAACTTTCCTAGGAGAAATGACATTATGGGTTAGGCACTGCTCGAGCAACAGATTTTCACTTTAGCCACTGTTTGTGTGAATAGTGATATACAAAACTTATAAATTGTTGTTAATTTCCTTAAGCAGTTGATTGACTTAAAACATTAGCCTTTTTGAAGGTAAGATTTGTTCTCGTTTACTCATTTGTCTCCAACTGAGAACCCCTTGTCTGAGAAGAAGAGTGATACTGACTTTTTTGCCTTCTTTTCGCTGACCAGCATTCTTCTAGTTCTGCGTTTTACTTCGATTTTCTTTAAACACTATTCTTTTCATTCTAATCTGAAGTTTTTTAGTCAGTTTTAGCTTTTACAAACTCAGCCTAGTTAATTTAGTTTAAACTCAGAAGTTATATATTTAATTTACAATTGATGAATTAAAAACGAATGATTCGGCCTTAGCTGAACATATGGCGAACACTTTACATGTCACAACTGGAACAATGTGAAATTACTTAAACGGGTGAATTTAAAGAACGAATTAAATATAGGTGAGCCATAATAAACTGTTGAATGTAAAATGATTATTCTGCAGTAACGTGCATGGGATATTAAAAGGGCAGGGCTCACTGACAAAAAAAGTGTACTTTTCGAACATTGTTAGGCAAGACCTTTGGGGGTATTAGGGGAGTCTGTTGGTTGCCTCCAGTAAATAGGGTAGAAAGCTATGACAAGTAAATATATCCTCTTTGATTTCTATTCAGTCGGTCTTATGAGTAATTTAGAAATATAACATTAAACAACGAATTCTTGCTTATTAGCACTAAACATAACATAATATTTTGGGACAACATAGGCCCTACTGGTCCATCTCGGTTCTCCCATTCTCTAAACTAAACTAAATATATTAATTAATAAATGTATAAAAATTCTTAAAGCCAGCCTTTATCATTGATATGTTTATCAAGCTTTCTCTTAAACTCACTTAAATTTACTGCTTCCACAACACCCGAAGACAACCCATTCCAAAGGCCAAACACCTTGTTAGAAAAATGAAACTGTCTTAGCTAAAGATGACTTCTACCCTGCCGAAATTTATATTTGTGTTCCCTACTCCTACTATTATCACTGTTAAATATAAAATACGATGATGCATCAACACTATCAATTCTCTTTACAATCTTAAACACCTTAATCAAATCCCCTCCATCTCCTTTTTTTAAAAGAGAAAACATTTTGAGGGGTTTCAACCTCTCTTCGTATGATAACCCCTCCATCCCAGGCACCATTCTAGTAAACCTACTCTAATTCCTTTCCAACAATTCAATGTTCTTCTTGAGGTAAGGAACCCAAGGCTGAACACAATACTCCAAATGTAGTCTACCCAATGACTTAAACAAATAAATTATAACCTATTTAAACTTATATTCAATATTTCTGCAAATACAACCTAAACTCCTAATTACCCTACCACTAGCAACCGCATACTGTTTGGATTGTTTAAGCTTCTAATCAACAATTACACCAAGAACCCTTTCTTTCATAACACTGTTTAAGTTATTCCAATCTAAATCATACTCATAGTTCAAATAATGGTAACCCACATGTATTATTTTGCACTTATTATAGTTTAAACCCATTTGCCACTTATTTGCCCAAGTCACTAAATGATCTAATTCCTTTTGTAAAGCAGCAGCATTCTCTTCACAGCTAGCAATTCCCCAGACTTTAACTTAAGTATTTTATTCACCATTCCTTTCTCTACATCATTGATGTAAATAATAAAAAAAGCAAAGCAAAGGGCCTAACACTTGAAACATCAATCAAGTTTGACTGAACTCCATTTATAACAACCCTCTTCTATCCAATTTGCTAACTTATCCCACACGCCTACAGAGATCACTTTTTTACCAGCCTTTTATGTGGCATCTTGTCAAATGCTTTCTGAAAATCTAGATACACTAAATCCAAACCTTTATTCTCATCCACATAAGCAGTAACCTTTTCAAAGAATGTCATAAGATTTGTAAGACACGGTTTCCCTTAGTGAAACTAGGTTGACTATCCAATAATATTGTTATGACAGCGGAAGTCAAGTGACGCTGGTAACACGTGATGAGTTTCCAGAAGGATCATGAAGGCCCGAGTGTTTGCCAGACGCCCTCTATTTTAATATATATAAGCCCGGCAAATAAAGGGAGACAATAATTGCAGATAGACAGATAATTGAGTCAAGTGAGCGGTAGTGACTGTAAGAATGTGCGCGAATCGTTATGAATTATAGCGTGTGTTTAAGTTAAAGTGACGGTGGAAATTCTTTGTATTGCAAAGTTGTATCGAGAAAGAATAAACTAGTTTTAATTAAGAAAGGACTTGTATCACTGAAGTTTCTCGGAAAGAATTTTTACGGGAAATTATCAAACGAGCAGATACGTAACAATATTCTAAACTTTGTGAAGATTCTTTGCAAAACTTTTACCACAACTGATGTAAGACTAATGGGACACTTTTTATCATCTCCCTTGAAAAGAGGAGTTCCATTAGCTAACTTCCAATCCTCTGGTACCTGCTTACTATTCAAGGACTTACAAAAAATATTAGCAAGTGGCTCACATATCCAATCCTTAACCTCCTTCAAAACCCTTGTGGAAATATTATCTGGCCTAAGAGCCTCAGCGTTCTTTAAACTTCTCAATTTTTTTTTAACAAGCTCAGAATTAATGCACTCATCTTGTTTTCATCTATCAACTGTTCGAGATGCGGAATGCTGCTTAAATCTTCGTTAGTAAAAACTGAAGAAAAATAAAAATCTAATAACCAAGCCATCTCATAATCATCCCTCAATGGTCTTAATAGCAGCTTCCCAGTGGCACAGAAGTAAGGCTGTGGACTTATAACGCTAGAATCCAGGTTTCGATACCCGTGGTGGGCAGAGCACAAATAGTCCATTGTGTATCTTTGTGCTTAATTACAAACAACAACAACAACAATCCTGATAGCATATCACAAACATTTGTTTATTGTAAATACCCAAAAGTTCCTGCATGTCATTCATTTTTGAGCTGAACTGTTTTTCTAATAAATCGCAGCAAGCAAGACGTGGAATCAGGCAGTTCTGTACAATTTTTATGACTAAGAAAAATGGCACTTTTGGGGCATAAGATGAGGAAGGCAGAGGCATGAGCCCACTCGGCCAACGCTTGTGATTGATTTTTTCCTATGTGATGTGACTGCTGATTTATCTACCTATACGGAAAGAAACTTTGAAATTTAGTGCTAAATTTTATCTATTATTCATTTCAGCATTTTCACGCCCTCGTCTTTTATTTTTATTTCTACGTTTTTTTTACTACTTTTGATTATTAAATTTAGACTTGAAGAATGTGCTTGCACGTGAGGCTAGGTGACGCTATATTTCATGGTAGGTAACGCTCACGTAATTAACATTCGTAGAAGTCGTTTACGTTAAAGTTTTCGTGATTCAGGTAATAAACTTTGAAAATAATAATTCTACTGTTCTAATTATATTAGATGTCAAGTAAATGCCTTAAATGTTTTTTCTTATATAATAGCTCTCTAAAGCCTAGTTCTAGCCATCGAATCTTTAAGTTGTATTTAACTATATTTTTCGTCATAACATTAACAAGGCCCAATGTATTTGTAAGCTGCAGACCAGTGCCAATGACGTCATGCCATTTACTGTCAGCCATGTTAGGTTATTGCCCGATGGAAAGTTTTGCCATATAACAACACTGAGAGCTAATTACGTACTAGGACGTCAGGTTGGGTGCTGTGATTGGTTGTAATGTAATACAAATAGTTATCATAATTTAAATTATTGTTTTTCTACACCTGCAACGTTGATGAACACGCCAATTGCTGAAACTTAGCAGTTATATAGAAATAGAATATCGGCATTACTGGGCAAAAATACGTTGAAATATAACTTAAAAGCTAAAATTTTTATTATAGTTTCATACTTTACTAAAACTTTAAGTACAATTTGAAATATTTTTATTTTATCATTTATCAAGCTCATTTAGTCATTAGTTTCTTATGGACTCTCAAGTCTTACAGAATATTTTTAAACAAATTAGTAGTAATTAGTAGTAATATTAATAATAAATAGTATATTGCTAAAATAAGCTAGTTAGTTTAATATTATTATTACGATTGACAGGTGCAAACTGTGTCAGACTTGAATAGTTATATTAAAAGGATGTTTAATAGGGATGACCTATTATTATTACTGCAGGAATGGAAAATGAAACAACAGCAGTAATACTATTACTAATGGTATGACAATAGATTTATGACAGACGTCACTTAGTCTGGTATATAATTGTTTATTGTGTATATTGGATGGATTTTCTCTGTAAACATTGATATCAAATATGAGAGAATATTTCCTTAGGAGATAGAGATGGTCTAAATAACTAAGTGAATGGTAATTGGAATAACACAATAGACAATGAAATTAATTAAGTTGATGTATGACAGATTTGTTATTATTACAAATGTTTTGACAACTTATACCACACATAATGAAGAAAGAAATTAATCTTTATGATGTGCTTACTGAGGCCATTTATCCTGTTACTCATTAGAAATAAATAAATTATTAAACTTTGAATGTTTTAATTTTCTTTCATTAAATTGTGTAATCTTAGATGTAATACTGACATGTTAATCCATTTTCATATTACAGTATTAGTAGAATAATCTTAACATACAGTGTATCTGTTACTTCCGAGTTTTAGCAGAAAAAAAATCGTGTTGTGGCATTCATTTATGGATTGCTGTTAGTTGACTGCTTACCTTGTTTTCAGCAAAAAAAAATGTAACAGTTTGGTGCAAAAAGACACAGCCAAATGTTGTGATCAAAAGTGACAAACTGATAGACTTGTTTAGTAAGAGACATAAGATATAGTGGCACTTTCAAAATCTGGGTATTGGAGGCATTTATTAATATTTAATAGGATGACAGTACCAGTATTCTAAGTGTGTATAAACAACTCAACACACAAACTTTAACACTTAAACATTGCTGCCTGAAATGACTGGTCCATTCTTCAAATACTTTTCTCTCTGTAATATATAGGACTATCTACACCCACATCTCCCTTATGCATATGGTAATTTCGGTCTGTACTTCTCTACTTCTAATTTCATACTTGCATAGTGCAAAAAAAATTAAAATGCAAGTTTAGAAAAAATAACCTTAACTGTGTTACAAATGAAAAGGATCTTGGTCTTATGTTCATAAGTTTCTTAAACCTTCTAAGAAGCTTACCATTCCTAATAGTAGAACAAATAGGGCTTCAAGTTGTATTTAATATAAGTCTAATAATATAGCTTCATTGGTTAGGCCTCATACATATAATTTAAGGACATCAAGGGACCTGTTGGTCTATATAGGCCATCCTATCTAGTAAACTAAATAAAACACTCAAAGCCAGCCCTTATCATTCAAAAATTTATAAAGCCTTCCCCTAAACTCCCTAAAATAAATGCATCTACCACATTTGAAGAGAACCCATTCCATAGGCCAACCACCCTGCTATAAACATTAAACTGTACCAGCTGAAGATGATTCCTACCCTGCAAAAATTTATATTTTTGTCTCCTTGTCCTACCATTCTTACCATTGTGTATGAAAAAAGATTATGCATCAGTACTATCAGTTACCTTACCAACAATCTTAAACACCTCATTTAGATACCCTCCGACATTTTTATTTTTCCAAGAGAAAAAAAATTTCTTAACTTATTCTCATATGAAAACCTTACTGTTATAAGTATTATCTTAGTAAATCTTCCTCTGAACTCTTTCCAACAATTTGATGTCCTTCATAAAGTAAAAAGTCCAAGAATGAACCCAGTGCTCCAAATTTGACATAACCATTGACCAATGCAATGAAATTATAACCTCTTTAGACTTATTCAATATTTCTGTAGATACAACCTAAAATCCTATTTCCCTGCTACTTGCAATAATACATTACTTAGATGGCCAAAAAGACAGATGAATTAAAACACTAATATCCATTTCTTCCTTAATGCTGCCCCCAGTGGCACAGCGGTATGTCTCCGGACTTACAATGCTAGAATCCAGGTCTCGATACCTGTAGTGGGCAGAGTACAGATAGCCCATCGTGTAGCTTTGTGTTTAATTACAATTACAATTCTTAATAATGTTAAGGTTATTCCCATCAAAATTATATGGATAACTCAAATTATGGTAACATCCATGTATTACCTTGCATCTATTATAACTAAAAGCCACATTCCATTTATTCATCCAACTCACCAAATATTCCACATTCTTTCTGTAAAGCATCATCATCCTTCTCATAGCTGATGACACCCAAAGCCCTAATATTATCAGCAAATTTAAATAATTTTGGACCATTCCTTCATCTGTGTCATTGATGTAAACCAAAAAGAGCATAGGCCCTAACATTGAGACATGATGCCCCACTTGTCATGTTAATCAAGCTTGATTGAACTTCATTCATAACAACACTCTGCTTTCTTCCATTCATCCAGATTTCTATTAAATAAGCCAACTTATCCTCCACACTTAAAGAAATAATTCTTTTAACAAGCATTTTATGTGGAATTGCATCAAATGCTTTCTGAAAATCCACAGACACCAAATCAACACTCATACCTTCATCTACATGGGTAGTAACCTTTTTAAAGAATGTCAAAAGATTAGTAAGGCAAGATTTTCCCTAGTGAAACCATACTGACTATTGAAAAAAATTTAAACTTTGTTAAATAACTCTGCAAAGCTTCTTTTGTTAGACTTTCAAAAACCTTTCCACCATTGATATAAAACTAATAAGCTTATGATTACTGAGAATTTTTTTGTCACTTCCTTTAACTCTTTCAGCACAGGCTCATTCTGTGCTTGTTATAGTTTTCATGCTATAACCTTTAAATTAGTAGGAATATATTAACAAAATTTAGCAGATCATCAGTAAACATTACAATGCTTTCATATGGAAAATATCAATTTTTTATTATTAAGTCTTAAGGTTTGTAAAGCAATATTTTTCGTATGCCTTTTTTTTTTTTCTTTTTGCATGTTGCCTATA